TATTAAAAATCATTTTAAAAATTCTACAAAACAAGAAGGCAAAACACACATTGTACAAATGGGAAATTGACTGATGATGCAATTTGGAAATCAAATTAATCGAGCAGTTAGAAACGAAACTGTTGGGTGTAAAGCAATTGAGAAGTGCTAACCCATGGCAATCAGGTCGAATACAGATAGCTTTCTAGCCAATTGCGTATGTTCTCCGTCGTCCCGTCTGCGGGATGTTGCGGAGTCATCTGGCTTCCGCCTTAACAGACATCGGAAAACGGCCAAATAATCGCCGCCTTTATCCAATTCAACCGCCCGGCTCGCCATCTTCTGTCTAAGGCTTCTTCGGATAACGATGAAAAATCATACAGTTTTACTTCCCTCCTTCCCACTAATCTTGTTTCTATGCCCCCACAAATAATGTTCCACTGCTATTATTATTACAAGAAAAATGCAAAACTGAGATGATAATCCACAACGAAACTTCAAAGTTTGGTTAAAAAAAAGAGAATGCTGCTTTCAACCTACTTTGTATAGCATTTTATACTCCAACGATTTATCCTGACATAAAATATAAGTATAACATTGACATAATATCAATTTTGCACTTACATTTAATGTCAGGGTAAAGCTTTGATATACAAAATGGGATACAAATATGAGGTACAAGTAGAATTTTCCTTGAAAAATATGACTCGTCACTTACCATCGTCACTTAATATACAAAAGTGACCTATCACATTTGGCCAAACTTATTTTTGGGAGAAGTGCTCACTAAAACTACCCAAGCATATCTCCCAAGAACGGAACAACGACGGCGTATGAAGGTCGGTGTGATCGTTATGTTTAAACCGTAGTATCATTGTGATCTATATGGAGCCACATCAATCACTTAGAAGATCAATGTACAAAAGTCTGTTGGTTCTACTTTAGGTTTATAGTTAGTAAATAGTGTTCTTATGTTGTACACTAATTGATACTTTGTTTACGCATTAGTCAATGAGTAAACAATGACCATGTGACACTTCTCTTTGTCTCTCAATTTGTCCATAAGTGATCAGCTTATAAAGACCTATTAGACATCCTCCACTTTATAAATAGTTTGTGATAGAGAAAAAAGAAGACATTCGATCATACAACCACAAAACTGAGTACATTCTTGAGATATATTAAGGGATTTATTCAAGCACGAGAGATTTGCTCCGATCTAAGTCATACTTTGTGGGGACAACAGCGGCGTATGAAGGTCGGTGTAATCGTTACTTTTAAACCATAGTATCTTTGTGATCTATATGGTGCCACATCAGTCACTTAGAAGATCAATGTACAAAAGTCATTTGGTTCTACTTTAGGTTTATAGTTAATAAATAGTGATCTTATGTTGTAGAGTAATTGATACTTTGTTTACGCATTAGTCAATGGGTAAACAATGACCATGTGACACATCTCTTTGTCTCTCCATTTGTCCATAAGTGATCAGCTTATAAGGAACTACTAGACATCCTCCACTTTATAAATAGTTTGTGATAGAGAGAAAAGAAGACATTCGATCATACAACCACAAAACTGAGTACATTCTTGAGATATATTAAGGGATTTATTCCAGCACAAGAGATTTGCTCCGATCTAAGTCATACTTTGTGTGTCCTTTACTTTTTTGCTTATTTTTACTTATTCGGCTAGATTGCCCTAACCCGGTCAATTACATATCTTTTCTACCCAAGTAATCATCATTTGAGTAACATTATTTATGAAAGACTATATAGGGAATAAATCTCAGTTACCATCACTTACTTTATTTATTACACTACACCCACCTCATTTAATACAACTTCACCCATTTTTATTAAGGGTATTTTGGTAAACTTTTACCTATTTTTCAAATTTTATTAAAAACTACAAAAAGTCAAAACGAGAAAATCTTAAGGGGACGGTGAAAGTATTATATATACCTAGCCTCTAGTATCCAGATTTGTCCCAAAGAGTCGATACTCTAAAAAAGGATCCTTAGGGTGAGGTTCACCATGAGGCCCGCCCATTTGGGAGTCCAGTAGGTTCCTTTACTTAAGGCTCTTAAATTTAGAAGGCTTCTTTCTAGACTCTAAATTTAATTAATTCTAGACTCTTCCTTCTCGGCTTCTTTCTTTGATCTCCAATCCGGCTCTTTGTTTCCTCTTCCATCTACTCCGTATCTTGTATTCCTCTTCAGCTCCTCCACCTTTTTGTTGTAGCAGAACTCAAATGCATCGAAGAGGTTCCAAGCCTTTCTTGGTGAGTTTATGATTTCGTTCATTTCTTGTTTCAGTTATTTTAGGTGTACTTGTTTCAATATATCAATTTCTTATATTTCGTTTAATAGGCCAATGTTTTAATTTTGGTTTTGGACTCATTTTTTTTCTTGTTTTTTCAATTCTAATTTGCTTTTTTATATTCGTATTTGTAGAAACTATAGGACGTTGAACTTGATTTCTTCCATTGATGCAAAAGAATACTCCCTCCGTCCACAAATAAACTTCCCGTTCACTATTCACAGGGTCAAACTTTATTCACTTTCTTGGCGTATTTCCGTCACCCATATGATAAAATAATGTAGTCATGTCACTTCTAGTTTTGTAGATCTTTTGATATAGTTTTTTAATATGTAATTTTTATTTTTAAATTTTACATCATTTTTCATATAAAATGATTTGAAAACAACTTCAGTCAAACATCGTAACGCGCAACGAGAAGTTTATTTGTGGACAGAGGGAGTATAAATATACATCGATGATACAAACGAAGAGTTCCCCGGTGATACACACGAGGAGTCCAACCTAACTAGCCCAATGCAATGAATGTTGCTATTATACATAAAATACATGGTCTAACACTCCCCCTCAAGTTGGAGCATGAATGTCAAAAATGCCCAACTTGGACAATAAACAGTGAAATAGAGGACCAGACAACGCTTTAGTGAAGATGTCCGTAGTCTGGAGACGCGTAGGAACATAAGCTGTGACAACATGATTTCGTTGGATGCACTCTTGAACAATATGGCAATCAATATCAATGTGCTTCGAACGCTCATGAAAGACAGGATTGGCGGCAATAAACAAAGCATATTTATTATCACAATATAAACGAGGAGTTGCCACACAAGGAACATCCAAAGCAGCCAAGAGCCCACGCAACCACCTTATCTCGGCACAAGCATTAGCCATGGCCCGATATTCAGCCTTTGCCGAAGAACGAGAAACGATAGTTTGCTTTTTAGTGCGCCATGAAACCGGAGAACCACCCAACAGAATAAAATACCCAGTGAGCGTCGAGTAAGCGGACAGCTTGCCCAATCTGAATCAGAAAAAGCAGTAAGAGCAAGATTACTATCACTACGCAAAAGAATACCTTGACCAGGATGTCCCTTAAGATACCGTATGACACGAAGAGCCGCGTTTCAATGGTCAAGACGTGGTGCCTGCATAAACTGCGAAAGTGTATGGACTGCATAGCAAATATCAGGTCGAGTAATAGTCAAGTAAAGCAAACGGCCCACAAGACGACGGTACTTGAGGGGATCTCGAATCTCAGCACTATTAGAACGAGCCAAAGCATGATTGACTGGTAATGGGGTATCAACAGGCTTACAACCATCAACATTAGCCTCGTGAATGATGTCAAGAGCATACTTCCGTTGATTAAGAACCATACCATCACGGGAACGAGCACACTCAACAGGGACAATGACCGCCGACCGGAACACGGACGAACAAAAACTAAGTTTAGGGAAAATCCCAAGAAAGAAGCTCTGATACCATGTAGAAACTATAGGACGTTGAACTTGATTTCTTCCATTGATGCAAAAGAATATAAATATACATCGATGATACAAACGAAGAGTTCCCCAGTGATACACACGAGGAGTCCAACCTAACTAGCCCAATGCAATGAATGTTGCTATTATACATAAAATACATGGTCTAACAGTATTCAATTAGTTTCGGGAGGCCGACCGAATCTTTTTAAATGTGCCTGTTAAGCATGCGTTTTTTAAAATACTCTATAGTAGTACAGGTTTGCTTTGTGATTTTTCACTCTTTATTTTGTTTTTAGGTATGTGTTAATAGTATTTTATTTTTCCTTTGCAGATTACATCGTTAATTACGGAGTAGTTTTTATTTTCACTTTACGAACTGCAGAGTAATATAATTTGTTTTGTTTGTCTGTTTTTTGCATCTTCAATTTGTTTTAAAACTCATCTTTTTTGTTCCATTTCTAATTTCACTTTAAAAAATCAGATTTATAAATTGAATCATTTCTTATTTTGTTTCTTCAATTCTAAAAGTGATTCTTCTTCAAGTCAACTTTTTTTTGTAACAAGTTAACTTTTTATTCCCATGCTTTATTTTTATAACAACAAGTTAACTTTTTATTCCCATGTTTTGTAAAAGAAAAAATTATTATTCTAACATCTGCCTAAATTATTATTCTAACATCGGGCGCACACATACAATTCTTAATGGAATAACCAATTTTAATACATTTGCATTATCATAACTTCTATTTTAACTTAGAAAGTTTAGAGCCTAAATTATAAAATAGTGCAGGGCCTTTTAAAATATTTTGGCGGGCCCGATTCTAGTTAAAGTTGTTTCCTTTTTGAGCTGGTCTAGTATGATCCGATTCCAATAAGTAATACACCCTCTATCCCGCTATATTCGTCCACTTTTGACTTTTGGAACTGTTCATCTAAGCACTTTGATTCATCAAATTCTATCAATCTGTAAGCCTAAATATAGTCATGCGTGATCTTGTTTGATTTGTCTTAACATATAGATTATTAATATATAATTTCTATAATTTTTTAATATACAAATTACAAGATAAAATGGATTAAAGAAGTGTATTGGATGGTGTGCAAAAATGAAAGTGGACAAATATAGTGGGACGGAGGAAGTAAGTAATAAGTTGATGAAAATATGATCTTATTGTTAGGAATATAAATTAGAATTCTGTAAGGTCCAGGAAAAAACACATAATCCACATGTTTATTACATAAATTAGCAGAATCACTAGATAAACATATATCAGGACACAACTAACATTCTATAATGTTACACACTTACACATCACAATACTGAGCATTATTAAGATGTAAACACACAACATGGAAATACAGAAAACACATTCAAACATAAACATATATGCAACCTGATGTGCATCATTCTGCCACAGCAAAAGCATTCACTTCGGCGTCTCCCGGAACAACCTTGGCAAGCTAATTAACACTTGTCTTATGACCTTCGGCTTCTTTTATCTGTCTCAAGATGTCTGCTCTTTTCTGCTCTAAACCTTCCATTTTTGCATTGATTTTCTCCAGCTTCTTTTTCAGTCCATCAAGGTCTTTGTATTTGGTCTTTCCTTCAGTTTTTTTCCTCTTTTCGGTCTTATCTTTCTTCTCGTCCTTGCTCTCATTTTCCTTCTTTTCGGTCTTGTATGTGCCCTCTGATTCACTTCCATCTACACATATCTCTCTCGTAGTAACTTCAGGCTCATGCGCTCCTTTTTCTACACTATCTGTGTCCTCCTTTTTGTTTGATGCATCCTTGGATTCAACATCAGATGCAGATTTGGTTTTAGTTTTCTTTTCTTTATCCTTCTTTTCCTTCTTGCATTTCTTCTTCGCTTCTTTATCGTGTGTTTGGTCGTTGTTACCTTCCTTGGATTCTCCACTCGACGCATCATTTTCGCTCTTAGTTTTATCTTTTTTGTCCTCCTTACTCTTCTTGTCTTTCTTCTCTTTATGTTTCTTATCATGTGTTTCTTTGTCCTCCCCTTCAAGTTCTAACTCAGTCACGTCTTTGCCCTTTGATTTCTTTTCTTTTTCCTTCTTCCCCTTCTTCTCCTTATGCTTCGCTTCATCATCGTCTTTCTCTGCCTTTGAAGCTTCATCGTCGGATTCTCCCGCTGATACCTCTTTGTTCTTACCTTTCTTTTCTTTATCCTTCTTCTCTTTCTTGTCTTTCTTCACCTTTTCCTTCTTATCTTCTTTTCCATGCGTGTCCTCGCCCTTCTCTTGGGTTCCGTCATCAAGAGCTTCCGCCTCTGTGTCCTCATTGTTCTTAATTTTCTTATCCTTCTTCTTGTGTTTCTTCTCTTCATCTTCCTTGGTAGCTTTTCCATCTTCGGTTTCTTCTTCCGTTTCTTCCTTACCTTTGCATTTCGTCTCCTTGCCCTTTTTAAGTTTTTCCGAATCTTCAGATTCTCCATCCTCAACAAGTTTCTCGCCTTTCTCCTTTTTCATCTTCTTCTTATCTTCTTCGCCCTCACTCTCACCTTTGTGCTTTTCATGCTTCCCTTTCTCCAGAGATTTGCTCTTCACATCAATTTCTACCTCAGTCTTTTCTGCCTTCTCATCGGACCTGATCTTGTTCTCAACCTTCACATGAATTTCTTCCTTTTCCGTCATTTCTTCTCCCCTTATCTCAGCGTTTCAGACGGATTCAGCTGCCTAAGATCCCAAAAATAATGAAAATCAGCCAATATGCAATCTAGAAACAATTTATTTTCACGAAGTCTTAAACCAAAATCTATATGGCTAAAAAGTCAACAAGGCTCACAGCAATCAAAATGTTTTGCAAAAACAAAAAATAAATGAACAAATAAATGTAAATTGTCAAAGATCAAGCTCAAATTAATGAAGCGAGGTCCTTTGGACTTGAAGCAGGATCAAATGATCAATTACACCAGATCAGATCGTGGAAACAAAAGACAAGACGAATTCGATCGAAATCAGATCAAAATAACAACAGAGATCGAAATCGACCGGAACAGAGGCGAGCGGAAATATACGGAACGGGGCGGGAAAAGTAAAAGATTGACATTACCTGCAGGAGAGATGGAGAGCTGTTTCAGACGAAGCTTGGAGAAAGAAGAGAGATCTGGACTGTATTGATACCAGTACGGACGACGATCGGCAGCCACTGCAATTCTGGAAAGGCTTGTGCTCCTGCAGGAGAGATCATACTCAGCTCCCTCAAAAGTCACGGAGTATTTTAGTTGTCGCCGCCCGCGGAAGGGGGAGTGGACGCGGAAGGGACGCGGTCCAATTCGATTTCAGAATTGCCATTACTCCAAAAAAACCTTTGCAGGAGCCAAAATTTCACCATTTTCTTGGCTTTGGGGTGAGATGGAATAAATCAAAATGGATCTCTAAATTGTCTGCGCTTCTTTAATTAATGAAGTAGCAGTTAGTCAAGCAATGCAACTTTCGACGTTGAGCCGGGGGTCTCTTTGGAAACAGTCTCTCTACTTTCGAGTAGGGGTAAGGTTTGCGTACACACACCCTTCCCAGACTCTACTCTTGTGGAATTTAACTGGGTTGTTGTTGTTGTTGTTGTACTCGAAAAAAATAGGAAGAAATTTGAATAATTAGAATAAACGAAATGAAACTTAAAGAAACTGGAGAAAACTAGAAAAAAGTAAATAAATTTGAAAAAATTAAAAAAAATTGGAAAATATAAAAAATTTGAAAAAACTTTTTTTTGTATATTTTTATATTATTCTCATTCTAATTCTTGTTATTATAAATTATTATTATTATTATTATTATTATTATTATTATTATTATTATTATTATTATTATTATTATTATTATTATTATTATTATTATTATTATTTTCATGATGATATCTTAAAGAATGTCTTTAAGATATAAAAATATGATTATTTTTTATACAAAAAACTACTTTTGCAAAAGAAATTAATTAGAATATAGAATTAGCATAAATATCAAAATATTAAATATTTAAAAGTTATTATGGCTACGCTGCACGTCGCTTTATTTATGCAATAATTTATCATAAAATAATATATTTGTAATTATACTTTATGTATTACAAAATTTTGTTTTAAATATCAGACATGTCATATAATGTGATCAGTGTAAATCATAAAAATAATGAGATGAAAAAATGAAATAATTTATAAAATATAGTTATGTACATAATAAGTGTAATAATAATAATATATCATTTTTAGAATAATTGGTCGAGAAGTAGAAAGAGTTTGAAAAAATAAAAATAGTTGGAAGAAACAGGAAAAAACTGAAAGGGACTAAAAAACTGGAAGCAACTGGAAGAACTGTAAGAAACTAAAAAAATTAGAAGAAACGAGAAAGAATTGGAAGGAACTGAAAGGAGATGAAAGAAACTGGAAGTTGAGAGTTGAAATCCAGAAAAGCAGGCTCTTAGTACCAACGATGATTTAACAAATTGGCACCAATATTCTTCTTATGTTTCAAAATTTACTTTTAAAATTTCATTGATTTCAAATGTTGCATACTCACGTTCACTATTTATTTTCTGATCATTTACCGGCAAAGATGAGACATAAATGTTCATTTCCCAAACCACAAGGGACATCAAAGCCACCACGATGTTCCTGGTGTCTCTGCGATCAAAATGGACACCCCAATTGCTCATTTTGGTCCCCAATTGCAAAATCCCCAAACTGGCAGTTTTCATTTTTTGTTTATCTTTTAGTTTATTATCTGTTTTTTCATTTCTTTTTATACTTTCCTTAGAAAAGTGTTTTCGATTTTGTTTCTAATTGTTGTTTATAATATTTTACAAAATTCAAAATTTTTTTGTTTGAAATAAAAAAATTAAAAAATGAAAAAAAACCAATGTATTTTCCATATATCTCAAATTAAATACTTTCAACTTTTATTTTCTAAAATTAAAAAAAAAATCTTTTTGGAAAGTTCAAAAAATAAAAAAAATAAAAAAATAATAAGAATATAGAAAAACAAAATGAAAAAATAGAAATCACCCTAAATAGTACTAAAACATAGAGAGAAGTATCAAAATAGGACTTTCATATTTTTTTCTTCGAAATAGGACTTTGCACTGCGGTAATGTGACACTGTACATTTGTACATTAGTATATTTTTTGGTAATGTACATGATCATGTTTTGTAATGTAAATACATTTTAAGTCCTATTTCGAAAATAAAAATATAGAAATTCTATTTTGGTATATTTGCAATGGTTTAATCCTACTTTGGTCTTTCTACTATGGAAAAGTGGAAACATGCGAGCAAAAATTTTGGAACACCTTAAAGAGTCTTAGAATTGTGATGTTCGGGTAAATAATATTCCTTTTAATTTTTTATTTAATTTTATTTCCTATTTTTTTTGAATGCTATTGACTCTATTACAAGGTAGTATCAGTTCATACTATTCTCAAGCTAATGACTAATGACGCACAAAGAGCCAATGCTGCTGCCTTCGCTGGGGCTCGAACCTGAGTGAACTTCCCCATGAATCCTGGAGAGTGGGCTTGCTACCACTCAAGCCAGGGGAGAAGTTCATTTTTATTTCCTATTTTATTCCCCTTTCTTTCAAATTCCCAAAAAAATTACTTTTTATTTCGAAAAAAAATAAATTCTTTTTATTTGGGATCTACACGTGGAGGATATGTTAATTATTTTATATTTCGAACACAAACAATTTTGAATTTAAAAAACATTATAAAATACAATTTTAAAAATAAATAATAAAAACTTAATACTCCCTCCGTCCCCCTGTATTTCTCCACTTTCATTTTTACACACCATCCAATGCACTTCTTTAATCCATTTTATCTTGTAATTTGTATATTAAAAAATTATAGAAATTATATATTAATAATCTATATGTTAAGACAAATCAAACAAGACCACACATGACTATATTTAGGCTTACACATTAAGAGAATTTGATGAGTCAAAGTGCTTAGATGAACAGTTCCAAAAGTCAAATGTGGACAAATACATGGGGATGGAGGGAGTAGATGAAATTAGAAAAAATTATAGAAAGAAGCGGGGAAAATAAAACATAAAAGGAAAATGAGAAATGAGCTTCGGTGTCCCCTACAGTTCGAACAACAGCCACCAATACCTCACTCATCATCGAAAAAATGGCCGGATAATAATTAGAGAAGGTGTGTATCCAATTTTTTGAAACCACAAAAATTTTGAAAATATATTTTGAAAACAAAGGGCGTATTGAAGCCTAAAACCACATGGGGCACTAAATCTATTAGGCCTTAGGTTGTGTTCCATTCACCAGTTCTAATCTGATTTTCTGAATATTTAATCTCATCTAATTAGATCTGATCTAATTTGATTCTAACTATATCTAAATTTTTTATGATCAAAATTAACATCACTCTCGTTACCATAATATTAATTATTCATATGTGTTTTATTTGTTCTAACACCGAGCTACTCATTAAAAATAATCATTATGTTTGAGTACGACACTGAACGGTCAAGAAATGTTGTGCATAGCATTGCAGGGAAAGCACGTGATTCAAGAAAATAGATAATTGATTCAAGAACTCATCAACCGACCAAGATTGCAACGATTGAAGATTGGAGAAGACACTAAGAGAATATTCCCCCCCCCCCCCCAA